AAATAAATAAATAAAAGTAATAAAAACTAAATAAATTGTCAACGAGTATGGGAATCGGCTCATTTGATTGTAAAAAAAATAAATAAATCGGCAATTGGAATCGGTCACGAAAAATCCTGATCAGTGCATCCTTAACTGGAATAGTTAGACCTACCTGAAAAACCTGAAAAAGCATGCTTCATTTCAGTTTTATCTTTGAACTATCGTTCCTATTTGTGCAAAATGGTTATCATTTATTACAATACAATGTTACAGTCAACAATGAAAACAATAAGTCTTATTTATTGATTGTGGCTAGGCCTGTGAAAATTTTGCCAGGGCAAGTAAAAAATTGAAACCACTGGCCAAACCGGGCCAGTAGAAAATTTCCTTAGCGTTGAGACCTGTCAATACGATCAAAATCAGTATCATAACACTTGTACACAGATCTGTAGAACACGTAGGTTACATAATGATATTTTAAAATGAAAAACTTAAAATATGTACTTGAAAAGAAAACAGGATGACTTTGAACAGTATCATTGTAAAATTGTGAGGAAGAGCTGAGCAAGTCTTGCACGTGTATTTCCTGGTGTGAGAGTGACTTCCTGCTTAAACAGGAAGTAATGGATACCAAAAAAAGATAGAAATGTATGTATGTAAAAGGAGAATGTATATGTGTGAAAGCAGAAATGTATGTATGTGAAAGGAGAATGTAAGTGTGTGTGAGAGAGTAGAAATGTATGTATGTGAATGGAGAATGTAAGTGTGTGAGAGTGCCAAAATGAATTATGGCTTGTACGGCCCCTCATATACGTTCAGATCAAAGCGTAAACAACATATCTGCCTTGAACGAAGGTCTTACAGGTTTGGAACGACATGAGGGTGAGTAATTAAAGACAGAATTTTCATTCTTGGGTGAACTATCCCTTTAAAATATCTTGCATTCAAAGACCGATATTATACAGAGATCATACAATCCTTATAAATAGTGATATTAAAACACATATTAGGCATAATATTAAGAAATGTGTTGTGCAATAACAAAATACTCCAAATAAAGTTTAATTATAGTTTTATATCAGTAAGTCTTAAAAGATATGTCAATAAATATTGGATTTGAAGTATACTTAATATGAAATAAATGTATTTTAAATAAATTATGGCTTTTTTTTTTACTAGGGGATGAAAAGCCATTTTTTCAATGCCAAGTACAAGGGACTAGTGAAGTGTGAGAGAGAGAGAAAGAGAGAAGAAGGGTAAGAGGAGAAGACATTGCAGATAATGGAGTCAGGAGAGATAAAGGAACTAAATAAAAAGGCAGAATTTCTAAGGAGAACTGCCAAAGTGCCCGCATCTGAGCCCCCATCTGCAGTAATGAGAGTCTGTCTGCTAATAGAGTTAGCTTGACTGTAAGTACACTGACTTGCTGTGTATAACTCCAGATGTCTTAGTTGCCAGTAATGCTAAGGTCACGGTCATCCTCATAGTAGCCATAGTTTTCAAGCAGAAGGAGCATTGAGGTACTTTGTTTCCGTTCTGCCTCTCTCTCTGCACTTTTTCCTCATTTCCATCCTCTTTAAAAAAAAAAAAAACTTAGCACTCCGTAGAGAGTGGATCCTTTCCCCTGGTCAGAACAATATCTCTCTTTGTGCCCCTTTCTCTTCTGTTTTCGGTGACGGAGGATAGGTTGTTGGCTTCGCCCCCTAGTAGAGCGTGTGAAAAAGAGGGGAACGCGTGAAAGAATTGCTTTAGCATGCGATGCACATCACGGAGCGAGCCTGAAGCCGGGCTCACTAGGTCTCCTTCACTGACCACTAAAAATGGTGGTAGATTTGAAAAGAATCCGAGCCGTGCCTGGATAATATGAAATGATTGTTATTCATCTCAGAGAGGTGAGAGGCTTTTGAGGTGAGGGTTTGAGAGGTACACATTATGTGCGTCGTACATGAATACTGCAAGTGGGTGTAAAATGTTTTCAAGATCATTTTCAGGTAATGATGTTGGTTATGCAGAAGTCAATATTGCTTTTTGTAGGAGCAGCAGGTGTTAGTGTGTGGGTATGGGTGGCATAAGGCCATGCGCGTTATGCCAGAATGCGCTTTTAGCTTTTTAAGTGCTGTATTATCTGATGTATCAAAGAGGTTTTATGTTATAGAGATAATGTGGGAAAAGATTGAGAAGTCATAATCATAGCTGTGTCATGTAGTTCAGCTGGGAGGGGTTCTGGTTAATACATTAGAATAAGGACACAGTAAGCATTTGTGATGTACAAGTTAACAGTTAGTCATTTGTAAAGCATTTTTTATGTTTTGAAACATTGATCATCAGCACATCATTTATGCATGGACAGTTGCAATGCATTACTCTTGATGGTTTGGGACATATACAGGTGCATCTCAATAAATTAGAATGTCGTGGAAAAGTTCATTTATTTCAGTAATTCAACTCAAATTGTGAAACTTGTGTATTAAATAAATTCAATGCACACAGACTGAAGTAGTTTAAGTCTTTGGTTCTTTTAATTGTGATGATTTTGGCTCACATTTAACAAAAACCCACCAATTCACTATCTCAACAAATTAGAATACTTCATAAAACCAATAAAAAATTTTTTTGTGAATTGTTGGCCTTCTGGAAAGTATGTTAATTTACTGTACATGTACTCAATACTTGGCAGGGGCTCCTTTTGCTTTAATTACTGCCTCAATTCAGCGTGGCATGGAGGTGGTATGGAAGCCCAGGTTTCTGTGACAGTGGCCTTCAGCTCATCTGCATTTTTTGGTCTCTTGTTTCTCATTTTCCTCTTGACAATACCCCATAGATTCTCTATGGGGTTCAGGTCTGGTGAGTTTGCTGGCCAGTCAAGCACACCAACACCATGGTCATTTAACCAACTTTTGGTGCTTTTGGCAGTGTGGGCAGGTGCCAAATCCTGCTAGAAAATGAAATCAGCATCTTCAAAAAGCTGCTCAGCAGAAGGAAGCATGAAGTGCTCCAAAATGTCTTGGTAAACGGGTGCAGTGACGTTGGTTTTCAAAAAACACAATAGACCAACACCAGCAGATGACATTGCACCCCAAATCATCACAGACTGTGGAAACTTAACACTGGACTTCAAGCAACTTGGGCTATGAGCTTCTCCACCCTTCCTCCAGACTCTAGGACCTTGGTTTCCAAATGAAATACAAAACTTGCTCTCATCTGAAAAAAGGACTTTGGACCACTGGGCAACAGTCCAGTTCTTCTTCTCCTTAGCCCAGGTAAGACGCCTCTGACGTTGTCTGTGGTTCAGGAGTGGCTTAACAAGAGGAATACGACAACTGTAGCCAAATTCCTTGACACGTCTGTGTGTGGTGGCTCTTGATGCCTTGACCCCAGCCTCAGTCCATTCCTTGTGAAGTTCACTCAAATTCTTGAATCGATTTTGCTTGACAATCCTCATAAGGCTGCGGTTCTCTCGGTTGGTTCATGCCATGCCGAATTGAGGCAGTAATTAAAGCAGAAGGAGACCCTACCAAGTTATTGAGTACATGTACAGTAAATGAACATACTTTCCAGAAGGCCAACAATTCACTAAAAATGTTTTTTTTTTTATTGGTCTTATGAAGTATTCTAATTTGTTGGTGGGTTTTTGTTAAATGTGAGCCAAAATCATCACAATTAAAAGAACCAAAGACTTAAACTACTTCAGTCAGTGTGCATTGAATTTATTTAATACACGAGTTTCACAATTTGAGTTGAATTACTGAAATAAATGAACTTTTCCACGACATTCTAATTTATTGAGATGTACCTGTAACTTCTTAAATATACCAGTGGTAAATGAGTTTTCATTGGTTTATTAGATTTAGAAAAAAAGATTTACATAGTATATGCAAATATTTTATACACATTTATAAACATTTTAAATAATGAATATACATATATAATGAAACATTTAAACAATATAAATATTTTGTACACACATATGCATATAATTAGGTTACATGTCTTCAGGTTTCCATCCATTGCATTTTTACAGTATTTTTGTATAATATTTCAACTTGATTCTATGATTTTTTTTCTCCAATTTTAATAGTTTTCAGATTTTTTGTTTATGTTTTCAGAAGTTTGTTCATCAGTGTTTAAATTATATATATACGGTGTATATATATATATATATATATATGACTACAGGTTGTGACTTAGTTGGCAATTAAACTTTCAAAAGCATACGTTTTTAATTTTAGTGTGTTAAAATGATTTACAGTGTTTATATGCATTTCTAAACTAATTACTATTTGGTGAGTTAACAGCTGTTTACAAAACATTTATTCATTAATTTATTTGTTTTATTATATGCCTAGTTATTAAATATGAAAGTTATTATGTCACCACTTAAACAAAAATTTGAATTAATTTTTAAAATTAAAATTAGTTGAAGTACTAAAATTTACAAAAAAAAAGTCCTCTGGAAAAAAAGTACTCGGATCCAAAACAAGCCGTTTTCTGAGGGTTATTACATAAATGCCTTTTTATTGATGATGAGGACATTTTTAAGTTATGAAACTTACAGGATGTATTAAGCATACAAAAACCTCTTCTGTGTCAAAAGATCAAGGGAAATTTGGTTTGTCATGTCATGACCCCTTTAATACTATAGTAATACATAAATAATACTTAAACACTGCCACCATTTATATATAAATAATATATATTGATAATTACAATTTGCAACTGTTTATAAATTAGTGTGCTCATTAATGTATGTTTGAATGATCATATGAATTTATATTTATTCTTTATTATCTAATTGTTTAGTTGATTTCATTTATTGTCTAATTTATTCTCTATTATCTGTCTACATCATGCACTGCTTTATTGCTTGTCGTTATAATTAAGTCTTACTGGCAGATCAGGTGTTTATGAGAAGCTAACTTTCTCTCGCTCTCTGCAGGTTCCTCAGGATGAGTGGGGTGGCTTCTCGTCTGTGGGTCAGGATGACGAGATCCCGTGCAGGAGGATGAGGAGCGGCAGCTACATCAAGGCTATGGCAGAGGAGGACAGTGGAGACTCAGACTGCAGCCCTACACCCTCACCCAAAGTCCAGGCCCGGAGAGCCAGCTACCTGAAAGCCACTCAGCCCTCCCTCACCGAGATGACCACACTCAAGTGAGTCTGGAAACGTATTAGCTTGTGCATTTTGTTGCCGTGAAATCACATGGGAAATTAAATACATGTGCTGTATGTGTACGTCTGGTGTGCAGGTGCGTGGACCCTGCCGAACCGTCTGCAATTTCAATGAACCGTCATCTTCTCTGGGGTCATTTTAAACATGGTATTTTACAGGCGTTCCACCCGCTCCGCATCTCTAAGTGCTGTTGGGATGGGACTCTGGAGACAGTGTAGTCCCGTCCTTAAATCCACCTCTGTTCACACACAAATGCATACACACTTACTCAGTGCAATTTCATATAAAATCCCTTCATGTCCTGAGACTCTTACCACTACAGTGAAATCCTTTCACTCTCCCCTATTTTAAAAATTCAACAGAACAAAGCCATTTCAAAGGGAATTTTCCTTTGCCTTTAAAGTTCCTTCCAAGTCCTTTCATTTTTCAGTTGCACACCGTTATATCGTCTGAAAGTGGGTCTTTTTTAATGCGGGAACTGATCTTGGCTTCAGTATTTATGTTAAAACCTCACATGCATATTGCAATTATAGCCGTGTACTACAGTGACAACATATCCTACTTAGAATGTATACAATGAATTGAGTCACTTTTAGGATCCCACAGACTTATTCATGAGAGCAAACTGATTTGCATTATAAAGAGAATCAACACACGCTTTTAGTTCTGTGTGTGTGAATGTGCGCTTTTGTGTGTAAACTTTGCAAACAAAGCATTCGTATAATGTGGGCATCATTTCTGTGACAACAGCATATGCTCATCAGTGCAGTGTAAAAATTTAAGTGCTCTTTTTTTAAAGAAATGAATCAATTTTAGCGTCCAGTTCTCGCTATTAACAAACCATTAACTATGACTTTTGCCTCAATAAACTATTAATTTGCTGCTTATTAGTAGGTACAGTAGTTATTAAGTTTAGGTATTGGGTAGGATTAGGGATTTAGAATATGGTCATGCAGAATAAGTACTAGTAAACAGCTATTATGTTATTAATAGGCATGCTAATAATCAACTGGTTCATAGTGCGACTTTGTCCCTATACTAAAGTGTTACCAAATTAATACTTTTATTCAACAAGAATGCATTAAACTGATGAAAAGTGACAGTAAAATAAATGTTACAAAAGAATTCAATTTCAAATAAATGATGTTCTTTTGAACTTTCATATTCATCAAAGGTTTGTGGGGGGAAATGTATTGTAGTTTCTACAGAAATATTAAGCAGCACAACTGTTTTGAGCATCAAGTCAGCATACTAGAATGATTTCTGAAGGATCATGTGACACTGAAGCCTGGAGAAATGATTAATGAAAATTCAGCTTTTGCCATTGCAGGAATAAATTACATTTGAAATTAGTATAAAATAATCTGATTTTGCTGTATTTTTGATCAAATAAATGCATGTTATAATAATTTCTATGTATAAGCATGACAATTCAAATTGTATATTTAATTTACTCAAGCATATGATACAAAAGAATTCAATTTCAAATAAATGATGTTCTTTTGAACTTTCATATTCATCAAAGGTTTGTGGGGGGAAATGTATTGTAGTTTCTACAGAAATATTAAGCAGCACAACTGTTTTGAGCATCAAGTCAGCATACTAGAATGATTTCTGAAGGATCATGTGACACTGAAGCCTGGAGAAATTATTAATGAAAATTCAGCTTTTGCCATTGCAGGAATAAATTACATTTGAAATTATTATAAAATAATCTGATTTTGCTGTATTTTTGATCAAATAAATGCATGTTATAATAATTTCTGTTTAAGCATGACAATTCAAATTGTATATTTAATTTACTCAAGCATATGATGTCATCAGTGTTCCAAATGAATTCATTTTGAACTCTTCAGATACTCCCTTCTCAGTGTGTAGGGAACGGGAAACACTGAGTAGGGTCCCTGTCATGTGCTCTTAATCTTTTCCTGCTCGACAGGAAGTGCCGCAGCATTGAATATTTATAATCAGAGCGTTGTGCCTTGAACTCAAATATGGACACACGCATTCAAACATACATATACATACTCCTGTACACACACGTACATGAAACTGGGGTGATAAATAATGCATAATAAAAAAGGAAATTTCTAAACCTATGAACCATAAACGCACTTTCTGTTCAGAAATGCAGTAATACAGTAGACATACACACTCATGTGTGTTTAAACAACCGCATGTATATTAGAGAAACAAAATGTTGCGTTATATAATAAATATGCAATCCCCTGAGGCCTGTGCTCATTATAGACAGATATTTCCTTTATTTCTGCAAAACAGTTCCACAGATGTGGGACCTGAGTCATACAGTATCTATTTTTTTGTACAAATTTTACCAATTTTTAATAAACAGTCAAATTTAGTCAAAACACGCATAGTAAATATTCAATATTTGTTTATTTTATATGATTAGTTATAAAAATTTAATTTTAGTTGATGATAATGTGTCATTCTTTAATAGGCCAGTGTCATTATTTACGTATATTAAAATTAACTATAATGTTTTGTTTAAATAATTGAACCATGTTTAAATAATTTAAAAATTTTAAATATACCAATGATTTATCTACAACATATAACATGTGAAAAACTGTCTTTGTAAAAAGCTGAGCTCCTGAAATAACAGCATATAATGAGAATACATGAGCGTTGTCCTATTTTTTCCGCAAGATCTAATTGTGTATGCTTTCCTTCTCATAGTACACTTCAGCAAACTTAAACTATTTCGTTGTTTTTCCATCAGTTGCTGCTTTAATTGATTTCATCCACTGTCATCTCTTCCTCTAAATATATTCTTGTACTTTTCCTGCATTCTTCCCTGCTCTTTGTTTTTCTGTTACTCCCTCTCTCTCTACATTCCTCACTCCAGTGAAGAATGACTAACGTGTGCTTTTTTTCTCGCTGTAACTGCATACTATTTTAAGAGCCACATCCATAATTAAAATTGACTCGACCTGAAGGGATAGAATGTGTGTTTGTGTGCGTTCATGTTTTAATGTGTTTCTGTGCTCATATTTCAAAGAACTGATTGCCCATCCACATGTAAACACAAACAGTCAAATGCTAGTACTAATTGTCAGGAGGTCATGTTTACACTGGTGTCACATATATGAAGAATACACTAACACACACACACACAAAACCAGGTCGAGTTGTTTTTAGGTCAGCAGTAATGAGTATGAAATATCTGTTGGAGGAAAACCATAGGAACGTGATGAATGAGTGTGAGTTACAAGAGTAATCTCACCCCTCATTAAATACTTGTACACCTGTTCTCGCTGTCTCTCTGTTTGCAGGATCAGTACGGAGTCCCATTCCCCCAAGCTGCAGATCCGGAGTCACAGTTACCTGCGAGCGGTGAGTGAGGTTTCGATCAACCGCAGTTTGGACAGTCTGGACCCGGCCGGTCTGCTGGCCTCGCCCAAATTTCGTTCCCGAAATGAGAGTTACATGAGGGCCATGAGCACCATCAGCCAGGTTGGTCATTGCCCCCTTCGTTCTCTGGTGGAAATCGCCATTAAGATGCTGATCTTACACCAGTGGGAAACAACAACTGGGCCTGGATCAGACCCTAAGGGTGATTTCCAACCAAAGCCTTCCTCAATCAACGTCAGCCTTCAAGAAGGTTTGCAAAGGGGAGGAAAACATGCAAACGAAAATAAGTTATATTTTTGCTCAATTTTTGCTCAATCCCATTAATCATCTCATGGAATCCTTTATCATCTCTTCATCCATGCATTATTCAGATTCCTAATTCGCGTACTATCAGTATGGTATGGAAGATTAGGATTAGCATCACAAATTGTAGGTTTGTGTATACTGTTTAAGGTGCCTAAGTTAGTGTACTTCTTTACAATTAGAGTCCTTGCACACTGAGTCAGAAATTGTATGCGTTTTATTTTTTTTATTTTTTTATTTTTTCCCGTATCGGTCATCCTTTCCTATCAAAATGTTTGCTACAGATGCGAAAACGCAGAAAATCGAACCTGATCCATTTTTTATTTATTTTTTTATGACAGACGAAAGTTTCGGAGGCAGTGTGTAAACGTGATTGACACAACGTGGGGTCGTATTTATTTTTTAACGTGCGAAAATTTTGAACGAGAATTTCGGACTCAGTGTGCAAAGACCTTAAGACTAAAGCCCCAAGTATACTTCAGTTTTGACACGAATATTAGTGAATGCATACAGCCGAACACATTATTACTGTTTGCAACTGTTATTCTGATTCTATTAATTCTACTAATTAAAGTAGTTTGTTGGTATTATTCCGTTATTTTAGTAGTTTGCTGTTATTCATTCTCTTCTTTTTTTTCTGTGAAACATTGGCACAGTGTTGCCAACTTTTAGACAAACTAATCAGCTCGCACATACAAAGTTCACATGGTTTTAAAAAAATTGGCTGTGCGTATACGGTATGTGCGTGTTTTGTTGATGAAATTAACATCTTGCACACTTTGCGTGTACCTTATCATACCTTATCGAAGTATACTTTGGGCTTTTAGCTGCCACAGGCTGCTGTTTTAAATGTATAAACGTAAAAGTTCAGTTTTACACATTTTCCTCATTAAAACAATTTACCGCCCAAAAACTGTTTACTCACATGAAATTAAGATTTTAGCCATATCAGTTGCCTATTTACAGCTGTTTTATTTACATGGGAGCGGGCCCTGCCATTTTGAGATCACATGACTAACTGAATACTAACCGAATACTAAACTGAATTGGTGGTGGACGAGGAGATACCCCCCTCAAAATGTAGAGCACTTTGAGTGCTTAGAAAAGCGCTATGTAAATGTAATGAATTGTTACTATTATTACTTACTTTATTTCTGTTACCCTCTTTTTATTGCTCACTTTTACTCAGAATAAATTAATTGCAAACAGACCATTACAAAGAGCATTTCTACAATGGCATCTATAACTAAAACTAGCATTTTTGTGTAATGCTGCCTCCACACACCTAGATGTCAGTAAAAGTCCAAGATGATTACCATATCAGACAGTGCAAGAGTTGGCTAGATGCTTACAGAAATATTCAAACACAGTCCCTTGCTGCGTCCCAATTCACATACAATCCGCTCTATTTAGTAATGCGAAATAAGAATTGGTGTGTCCCCAAATTGGAGTATCTTGAAATGAGTATCTCTCAGAGGTACCCAGATGTTTTTATTTTTTTCTATTTCCAGTGAAATTTCGAATTACAGATCCATGCACACTCTAACGGCTAAAACTGGCCACAACCCATTGTATGTTGGACACAGATTTGTTTAGAACTACAAACATAAATAAAGAAAGTGTTAAAAACTACAAACATGGCAGATAGAGAGATTGAAATAAAAGCGTTTACATGGTCACATGACACATGAATTTCATTCATACTACACACATTCATACTATGCAGAACATACCTTTTTAGCAGTCACAAAGTGCATTTTTCATCAAATGTAGTATGTAGTAAATGTACTCACTATGCGATTTCAGATATAGTTAAGCGGTGTTCAACAAAAAGATATGTGGTGTCAAGATGCAGTTTTACGATGCAATATTTTGTCCCAATACTGCTGACTTACTAATCTACTCAAAATATGTATTTTCCCCATCACCAACAAGTACGTACTAGTAAAAGACTTCAAGCGTCTACTCTGTCAGAATGAGCTGTAACTGGAGGAGTATATGCTAGTAACAAAATATTAAGTGTGTAGAGATGAGTTCTCATGTTAACTGTTAGTTTTAATGCTTGACAGTAATTTTCACGGTGGTGTCAGTAAAGCCTTTTAAGCAATTTTAAGTGGTGTTCTTCCTTGTTAGCATGTGTAGCTAAGGGATTTTCAAGGTGAGTTTTCAGGATTAGTGTCCGTTGCCATGGGATTTTAAGGTGAGTTTTCAAGATTAGCTTCTGTAGCCCTGGGATAAGGTAACGGGCAGCGTTTACAACCAAGACAATTTTAAGGTGAGTGTTCAGAGCCTGACAGCTCACTCAGACAGACAACAGCCCTAACCTTTTAAAGAGCTGCTTCCTCCAACCCGCAAAAAAAGACACTGCCCTCAGGCATGTGTGTGAATGTGCGTCTTTTCTGCTCCCTGAGGATATATCAGTCATTTCAGTTACAAAAAGCTCCGTCTGCTCACCAAAAAAAATATTATTTATATGTGTATATTGAATGTGTGTGCATGTGTTTGCATTGTATGTGTGTACAGGCATACATATTTGTTGGTGTAGGTGTGTAGGGTTTTGGGGGTTTTATTGCTACTAGATGATTAGCAAATCTTGGTGCCTGTCTTTCTTCCTTTAGCCAGTGACAAACACTCAGCTTTCTATTCCTCCAATCACAACTCACTATTAGTCCTCCAGTCACAGAATTCTCCAAAAAACCTGTTTCCACTTTCTTTCCAACCTTAAATCATGAGACCCCTTCCTCTCATAAGTTTCTGTCTAAATCCAGTCACACTAATTACACTACTGTATTATAGAATTAGCACTAAAATAAAGGTGCTTCACGATGCCATAGAAGAACCTTTTTGTCTAAGTGGTTCCATAAAGAACCTTTAACATCTGAAGAACCTTTCTGTTTGACAAAAGGTTCTTTGTGGTGAAAGAAGGTTCTTCAGATTACAAAAAGGTAAGAAAGAGATGGTTCTTTAAAGAACCTTTGACTGAATGGTTCTTTGTGGAACCAAAAATGGTTCTTCTATGGCATCGCTTGAAGAACCTTTTGAAGCACCTTTATTTTTAAGAGTATAGTGATGCAGCCACACCTGATTTTGCTTTCACTTCTACAGATTTCCTCCCCTCTGCACTCCTTTTTTTCTGTTCTGTTATCTGTATTAGTGTGTTTAACCCTTATCGTTGAAGATGCAGCTTGGCTGTTAGAGGGTTAAATCGAGCCTATGACAAATGACTGCTCAGGATTCGCAATTTGCACATTTTCCCCTGACAATTGTTTATACATCAATATTTAACCAATTACTAATTCCAGCTGTGATGTTTACTCATTTTGGTATTTATGGGTGTCATGACATTTTAAGCTGCAACGATGTCATTAAGTTGATTACAAGTAAATCTATGTTAAAGTCGAATGACTTTTTTTTTCTTATTAAACACACTAATACACCTAGTGTTTTTTTATTCTTTGTGATTTTCTGTGTTGCTTTTGTATTTTGTAAAACCTTTGTATGGTTATTTTCCAACGCTAAAAAGGTGGGCATGGCAACAAAGCACCCTTGATTGTGAATGCATATATCTGCTGTGTAGTATTTTTATTTAATTATTTTTAATAATAATAATAATAATAATATAATTATTATTATTGTTATTGTTGGTATTTTAAATGATATATTATATTAACATAATTATATTAATATAGTTGAATTATATTAACACAATATGTAGATTTTATTATTTATTTATTATTTATTATTTTTTACATTTGTATGAATATTTTGTATTGTATATTATGCATTATTGTTGATTATATCTAGGAAACAATAATATTAATAATACAATATATATTCTTATTTACAAATTAAAATTAATCAATCAATCAAATATATATATATAGTGAATCTATTGTTTATAGTAAGATGACTATGGTAAAAACATTTAGTTTTTCCGCAATATGAACAAATTGTTCATTTTCAACCCTTGGTTAATTTAATATTTGGTTATCTTGTGCCATATTTCACACTTTTCATCCCTTTCCATACCTTTAGTAGGCCTTTACTGCAATTCTTGAACAGGTTTTCATAACTCAGGACTAAAAGTCATGCTAAACATCTTTGAAAATGTATGAAAGGTTGCCTAGGGTTAAAATTTAACTTAATCTAGGGTTAATCTTAGCATGAAAAGTCAAATGTGTTTTTATAGATCTTTAGTAAAGTAGCATTTAACAACTTCGTATGACCTCACTAGATTCCTCTGCCTTCTTACAATGATTTAAAGTCATTTTACATTAGTAAGACTTGAGCTAACATCTTGAAACCTGCTCATTCAGCCAGGAGTGTTTAAATGCTACTATCCCACCACAGAAGGGTGAAGGGGTAATATGACAGCATGTGGTGACGCGTTGTCTCCCCCTGCAGGTGAGCGAGGTGGAAGTAAACGGGCAGATTGAGGCTGTGTGTGAGAGTGTGTTCAGTGAGATGGAGTCTAAGGCCGTGGATGCTCTGGATCTTCCGGGGTCCGGATGCTTCCGCATGAGGAGCCACAGTTACGTGCGGGCCATCGAAAAGGGTTGCTCGCAGGAGGAAGAAGAGAAGAGAGCGATGTGTCAGGCCATCTCACCACCTCGAACTACAACTGTTAGAACCATCCAGAGCAGTACAGGTACCAGAGCCTTAAAACCTGATAAAACAACTGCTATTACTTAAGTTTTAATAACCGGTTTGTCACTAGGGTTAGTGACATTTTTTTAAATACATGCAATGTCTTAAATATACCTTTTCTATGAGAAACAAGTTTTCAATTTCTATATTAAAATAAATAAATTAATTAATTTTTCATAAGTATAAACACAAAACTGTCCGGGTGATGATTTTGTAACACAGAAAATGTCGAAATATAATAAAAATATAATTTATTGTATTTATTACAAATTATTATAATTATATAAATACGATTTATAGAAGAATAAGGATAATTTTTTTTTTACCTTATTATCATAATTATTATTATATGAATATTTTAAATTATATAATATATATATATATTAGGGGTGCAACGGTTCAACTTACTCACGGTTCAGTTTGTATCACGGTTTT